CCCCCCACCCGCAGGAGTGCAGAGCGGGACCCCCACCAGTGCTCCCACCCACTCCTGACCCTCCTCACCCGTCTGGGAAGGCAGGGTTTCCATTCTGCCGCCTGCAGCATTCGTAAGCGCGTGTATCCTCCTTGTATCCAGCCTGCGGAGGGGGAACTGGGGCATCCTGGGTTCCAGGTCCAAGCTCAGACGTGGGCAGGGATGGGAGGCGAGGCTGCCGGCTGGGAATCGCAGGGGACAGACTCTTGCCAGATGTTCCGCTCCCAGTGCAGAATGGTGAGCCAGATGCAAAGGTGATGGGCACACTCTTCTCACCCGGGAAGGCAGATCAGCTCCCACGTGAGGTTTGGATTGCTCTGAAGGTGTTTATCCTGCACACACAACCCAAACGCTCCTGACCTGGCTGGTGGTCCCATGGGCTCACGTCAGGGGGAGGGACCAGCTGAGACCCAGACACATCCCATCCGCGTCCACAGCACTGCCCCTGCTGACCCACCCAGAGCCCCAGAGCACCGCACCAAGACCTGCGTGCTGCCACCTGAGGGGTTCCTGCTCCACATTTCCCAGAGTTTCCGCCCAATGCAGGCACTGAGGCTGGCTGGAGAGCAAGCACTCCCTCTGCCACCAGGTCCAGAAAAGCTGGCACAAAGCAGGTCGGTGACCGCCTCAATGAGGAGGCAACGCTCTCTAACTGCAGTGGGCTTAGGTACCCCCAAAAGGCAAAGGGAGTGGTGAACAGTCCCTGAATACGGCTGCTTGGGAGCAGAGACAACATGGGATGGCAAATCTTCAAAATCACTGGAGAGATCTGAGTTACAGAGTCTCCTAGCTCCGCATAAGACAACGACAGGACAAGAGGTGATGAGCACGAACTGGAACCCATCAAATTCTGTCTGGAGATCAGGAAACACCTTTTTTAGTGTTACAGTGACCTGGCACAGGCACAGGTTGTCCAGGGAGGTGGTGGAGTCTCCATCTCCAGAGATATTCAAAAGCCACCTGGGCACGGTCCTGGGCAATGCCTTTGGGTGGCCCTGCTGGGGGGGGGGAGTTGGACCAGATGATCTGGAGAGGCCCCATCCAACCTCCACCGGTTTGTGCCTCTGGGATGGTGTGATCAGCAGGTCTGAGCACAAACAGTGAATCACTCAGGGCTGGAGTTAAGCAAGGAGATGGTGGTGTGGCAGCAGGATCAGGCAGCGCAGGGCAGAAGGAAAGCAACTCATTATCTGCGTGATGACAAAGCAGGAGACTTTCCTGCCTTACCCTCCTGAGAGTGCAAGTCAACATATGGATTATATACCCGTGCAACGCCCTTTCTGTGGGCCTGATGCTCACGTGTGCCAGCAGAACAAGGCACAGTCCAGCTGCAGGATCAGGGAAAACTCCCAAAACCATAACCAGAGCCTTCCGTGCCGTGTAATTACTGAGATTTCCTTTCAGCACCGTCACATGCTCTTCTGGTTAGGGAAGGAAAGCATTTCTCAAAGGCAGAATTTCTATCTAGGATGGAGTTTTGCATGTAGTGAATCACGTTTTCCTTCACAAAACCCACGCCTCTGAAGGAGGGATACTGAGTGCTGCAGCAGCACTGGGAACCATAAAGTGGAAGAAATGATAATAATAAGGAAATGCAGTATTAAAAAAATCCGCAAGATTACAGTCTTTGAATGATGGTTGTCAAAGAGTGCTTGCTGCTTGCTATAAGGGGTGTGTGGTAGGAATCAGAGAAGATCCAAAATCTTTAACTACTTCTTATCCAAGGGCTGATACGGAAAATATGGATGTGAGGATAGATTAGAGCTGTACCCCTACCAGCAGCCTCTTCCCTGAGGAAATGCCAGCGCTGGGCCCCTCTGTGCTGCTGTGGAAGATGATGCTGATCCCAACTTCTAATTACAGAGATGACATAAGGTCAAACGTTCCTGAGCAGGATGTCTGCTGAGTTGTTGTCATGTCTCTGTGCAGAATCGGAAAAGGGTGGGGGAAGACTTATTTCACAGCAGTGACTGGAAAGGAAAAGGAGAGTCGTGGCAAATATCCAGCAGAAGAAACTCAGAGGCTCAGATACCATCACGGGCAAGGAGAGCACAAAGTATGAGAAACACCGAGACAGCTCAGGCACCCGTTCCACCTGACACGGAAGAACTTGCGCCCACAAGGGGCTGTCAGTTCCCAGCTGGGCTACTCGAGGTCCTCTGTGTGGCAGCAGATTTGGGGTTTGAGGAGCAGCTTTTTCTCAGTTTGATATTTCACCGTCCCCAGAGTCAGTATCAGCCTTGAGTAAACAGACCCAACACTGGAATATGTTTGGCAGGTTCCCAATAGGAAGGTCACATTTGCTGGTTTTCATGGCTCTGTGCTGTCCCTGGGGCTCTCTGGTCACTCAGTCCCAAGGGACAGCCATAATTAGGACCATCGTGAGCTGCTTGGTCTCACAGAAGCATTTAAAAAGCCGGGATATTGGGAACATTATTTTCACAAGACCAAAAATAATAAAGATTCTTGCAGCAGTTAGTAAACCAAACTATGCAGGCATGGGAGGAAGTAGGGGAATAGAATTTAGTAGCTCCAGTGGAAACATGAGAGGGAGGTAAAGTGTAAATCTGCTCTGCTGAGTGCCAGGTCAGGATGGGTCTCCGTGACCCTGGCTTAAGCTGAAGTGAGGAATATTTTTCAGACCATTCATCCCCTGAACGGATCACAACCTGGCGTTATTCACACCTGGAGTGGAGAGAAACACTTGGGCATTGATGTCCCAAGAGAAGAAGATGCTGTAACTGTACATGAGGTTCAATCACTGATCATTAAAGATCTCTCCACTTTCTGCAGCCAGCGATGTCCCACCCAGAGCCTGCTGCTGGCAGACGCTGGTGGGGGCTTTTTCCACACTGGTTTTTTTCAGTGCTGTGCCCTTCTCCCCTGGATCAAGGTAACACAACATCCTCCTTGGGCAGCAGTGCCTGTGTAATGCTGCCTCTCTTCAATGATGTCTGCAAGAAAACAGTGAGACCTTGGCAGCTCTGGTGCTTGCCTGCTCAGGAATGTCTGGACTGAGCCCCTGCCTACAGAGCTTCATTTTCTCCAGATCAAGCTCTGACCCACAAAAGGCTTTAGCAGCTACAGGCAAACCAAATGTATCTGGCCAAGGATGTCTTAAAGTGGTCTACATTCCTGGGGCGGTAACCCCTTCTCTTCTGTGACAGCTTCAAGGACATGGGTGAGAGCTGGGGTTGGTGTAGGACACTCTTACCCTGCCCGTGGAGGTGCTGGCTGAAGGCTGCGAAAGCCCAGGGCACCTTGCTGGGGCTTCCTGCCTTGCCCCCACCTGCTCCCGCTGGAATATGCAGCTGAGCGATGCAGCCACAGCACATCCTCCTCCTCCTCCTCATCCTCCTCCATCCTTGGTTCCTTGACCAGATGGAGGAAAAGGGGGCAGGACGCAGCACCCCTCTCACCTGCCAGTTAAAGCAGTCACTTCGGGCGTGCAAAGCGGCAGCTGGGCACAGTGATACTGCATTGTTTCAGCTGGGGCAAGAGGAGCGAGCAGAGCTGGAGAAAGCATGCTGCTGGGTAACGGTTGTATGTAAATGTCTACACAACAGCAAAGTACAAAGCAAACTTGTCCCCAAGACAGGAAGAGAAGACTCACATCCAAATGAGCACACAATCAGGGGGGGACACCGAAAAGCCAAGTGCTGCTGCACTGCAGAGGTAGCATCCAACGCAGGAAAACTCTTCTAAAAGAAACATGCCTTCCAGTACCTGAAAGGGGGCAACAGGAAAGCTGAGGAGGGACTTTTTACAAGGGCATGTAGCGACAGGACGAGGGGGAATGGATTTAAACTGGAAGAGGGGAGATTGAGATGAGATAATGGGAAGAAATGTTTTCCTGTGCAGGGGGTGAGGCGCTGGCCCAGGTTGCCCAGAGAAGCTGTGGATGCCCCATCCCTGGAGGGGTTCAAGGCCAGGCTGGATGAGGCTTTGGGCAACCTGGGCTGGTGGGAGGTGTCCCTGCCCATGGCAGGGGGTGGCACTGGATGGGCTTTAAGGTCCCTTTCCACCCAAACCTTTCTGTGATTCTGATTCTATGTCTACAGTTTCAGGGAAAGAAGTGTCTGTAAATGCCTCACATCTGAGATAACGTTAAAAGCTCCTTAATTATCAGAAAGTGCAAAAGATGAGGCACCACATGCCAAGGCTCTCCCCTGGTCCCTGAGGAGTGGGGATGTGCTGACCTCGTAAGGGAGCGCAGCACTCGCTTCCCTGCGCTGGCCAAGCTGCATCAGCTGGGCTGCTGCAGTCCCCTGGCAGCCACACCAGCCGGAGCTGGACTCAGCAAAGCCAGGTTTGCCTTACACTGTGACTAAGAGAAGAAGCCTTGGCAGACCCCGAGCTCTCGGCTACCCTGGCTCGCTGCCACGTCAACCCGAGCAGCCCGGGGTCTGCAGCTGTGTGCTCTGCATCTCAGCTCCGGTGCCAGCTAAGGGCTCAGCTCTCCCCAAAACACCATTTGGTTTTGAAAAAATATACACGAGACCACATAGGCACAAACGTACAGCAGTCTGTGTTTGTGGGCCTCCAGCCCCGCTGTTTCTGTGCTGAACATCTCCTCTGTGCTGCAGTGGGGGTGACTCCAAGCCCACCCAAAAGGAAAAAATCAACAGCCAGATAACCCCGCTGTACGGTTTCCAGTGTACAACTCTACGAGCTGATCCTTTATCTTGGTTTTGATCAGCTGGCTCACAGGCTGAAGCATAAAAGGTCCAAAATACCCTTTGGCAGAATGCACCTCAGCATCGTGGCTCTGAACCGCCCAAAGGGCTGTTTAAATCTGGCCCTGGGAGCTCACGTGGAAGGATTATACACCATCAAACCATTCGGGAGGTGCTGCCTCCATGGTAATAAATGCTGGTTCCATGAGGCACCGATGGGTTTTACCTTTTGCTTCAAAAATAATCATTAGCAAACACCATGTAGGGGAAGGGGAAAGTTGAAAAATAATGTATAAAAAATACTTGCCTTTAAAAACTCAGCCCCTCCCATGTTACCAAAATCTAATTAAAGGGATCCAGCAGCTGCTGGCTCCGAGATGCCTTTGGTCCGAAAGCATTAGGATTCAATACGTATTTCTGACCAAGTCTTTCAAGTTCTTTTGCGGTCTTTAGTCCTGCTTCTCTCCTTTGTGTTTCCAGGGGTAGATCAGCTCTCCAAGGAACAGCTTCTTGCAGAGAGATGTCCAGGAATCCTTGGGGTAACAGCTGTAGGTGGGCAGCCGGTATGTCCGGACCACACTGCCGTATGACAGAGGGTTGATCTAGGAGGAGAAGAAAGCAGCAGTGAAAATGTGCTGTAGTAAGAAACTCAGGCAGCTGAGGAGAGCAAGTGCAACCTTTGCATGGCTCTGGCCTCTGTTAAACCATCCATACTGCTACTCACAAGGCGTCAGAATCCCTCTCTGGGTAGCTAAAGCTGTTCAGCCTTCTCCAACATCCCCAAATGTTAACCAATTGAGCTTGGCAAGAGAACATTCAGAATCATTTTCAGGCAGAGCACCAGACACAAGCACCAGGACTGGCGGGTGATGCTCACTGCACAAAGGTGTGGAGCTGTCGCCCTGTTGCAGCAGGAGGCTGCGGTGGCCGGAGAGATGGGGGTGTCCCCCCGCAGACAGCACTACTCACGGGGGGTGCGCTGCGACTCCGAGGAACTCCCCTATCATGTGCTGGTTGAGCCACATCTTTTACAGGCGTAGTGCTTCAATGTGCTAAGCCCTCAGCGAGGCTTTAAGCTAAACCTGGTATCACCTGGTATCCACGCCAGGGAACCGAGTCCCAGCAGAGCAGGATGCGTACTGTGCAATGCCATGCTGGGCTGCTCGTTACCATCTTAAATTAACTCTCCTTGTCTGAGTTAATCTTTTTAATTTTATTTCAATCATCATCCCAAGAATGACCACATCTGGAGCCTCTGCCTAGGAAAGCTCATGGCCTCTGATCACAGAATCATTAAAGTTGGAAAAGACCTCAAGGATCAAGTCCAACCATCAACCCAACACCACCCAACCCACTAACCCATGTCCCAAAGCACCACATCTACACTGATGGTCACAAAGTTTCTGTATTGATCTTTTCGAAGACGGGGGAGGCTGACAGACATGTTAGCTGGACAAGGGGCAAGAGAAGCTTGTTAGACCTTGGAAAAATCTCATTCCAGTGAAGCATTTCAGGGTAGAGAGACAGGTGAAGTCCAGAGGATTGATCCAGTCCAGCCAAGATTTGATGCATGAAAAGGACGGACAGCAAAAGAGTAAACACCCTCCAAAAGAGTAAACAGATCACACAGAAACAGTGGATCTCAGGAAACAGACCATGAGACATGCCAAGGTGAGAAGACTTCCAGAGCCAGGGGAAGCTTGGGCAGCAGGGAGACATGGAAGGACATCCTCCTCCAGTGAAAGGGTCCCGCTATGCTGGAACCAACTGGCAGCTGCGGGAAAGGAGATTGTAATTCACAGCAGAAAATCCAGCCACAAAAAGGAGAGACAGCAAGAACCACACAGTCACTACTTTGTCAAAAGCTGAATATTTCTTTTGCCCACTGAAGAGCAACCATTTTCCTGGGACTGTGCCTGTACCAGCGGTTTGCTCCAGCTGTCTGGTGCTCATGGAGAGGGGCAGGATGAACCCGGAGTGCCGGCAAAGGGGGAGCTCTGGGAAAGGGTGATCAAGCAAAGAGTTCATTAGAATTAGTCCTGGAGACCTTTGTCAAGTTAGTTTCAAAGTACAACACTGCTGAAGCAGAAGGAGAAAGTGCCTGCCCACAGAAGCATCTCTAGGAAATTTTAGGAAAAAGGCAGCAGCTGGCGCAGGCTGTGGGAAGCCAGAGAACAGCCAGACCCAGTGCAGTCCCCGCTGCAGGACACGGACTCCTGAGCACATATTGGGTTGCCCAGAGAAGCTGTGGACGCCCCATCCCTGGAGGGGTTCAAGGCCAGGCTGGATGAGGCTTTGGGCAACCTGGGCTAGTGGGAGGTGTCCCTGCCCATGGCAGGGGGTGGCACTGGATGGGCTTTAAGGTCCCTTCCAACCCAAACCCTTCTGGGATTCTGTTCTATGATTAAATGGGTCCCAAACAGATTCTCAGGAAGCTGGTTCTGAATGTGATCAGAATGAACATTGGTACCAGAAAGGCAAGAGCGGGGCTCGTACCACCTGAGTCATGTCTGACCCAGACTCATCAGCTCATGTTTCAAACACATTCTCCAGCCTAACGGCCAAGGATCAACCACAGCATTTATGGGACGTTCTGCACGACTACAACCAACCTCATCGCACTGCGGTCACAGAGAGTTAGCTAAAAAAAGAGAAAAAATAATAAAAAGACCAAAGAAGCCTGCCCCCAAAACAAACAATGGTAAAACCCGAGTAACTATTTCTGCCTATTTCCTCAGCTGTAGGCAAAGCAGTATGTTTGAAGTGAAAACATGCTGGGGGAGGATAGGAACTGCTGCTCTGCGAGGGAGATACACCCTGTGTGTTCCTTTGACTATTAGCGACGTGGGCTGGAAGGTTTGGACGCAACATTTCTCGCTGAAAAGCATCCCTAGGCAGAGCGATGATACCCAGCGGTAACACTTGCCTACCGAGAAATAACGAGAGATGGGTTTACGCCCAGTGCAATCCCTGCGTCTGCCTCCCCTGTTATAAATGGAAGCAAACAAGCAAAACACAGCAACTGCTTATTAGGGAAGTGGCAATATGAGTTCCTTTTGTGAAATTGCTGTAGACCAGAGCTATAATATACCCTGATATAATATACATCTTCTGTTTCATAATGGAGCGCTTCCCTTTTCCCTTCCTCTTCTGCTTCACCCTTTTCAAAGCGACTGCTGAGAAGGACGACACTTCCAGCAGAAGGTATACGGATGAATCCAACTGGGTTATCAGCTCAGCTGAGCCACACTCCCAGAAAGATTTCTTCTTGTACTCCAAAACAAATGATTTTAAACACTAATGAAAATACTGAGCTATGTAAGACTTCCCGGAGAAAATGAACTCGCATCTGGAATGGAAATATCATCCCCCGCCCTCCGCCTGCCTGTGCCTGGACTTTGCATTCCAGTGACACTATCTTAAAAATATAAAAAACAATCACTTGGCTGAACCCCCAGCTGAATGTGAATGCTCAAAATCAGCATTATTGATTTCGAATCCATTACCAGCACCCCAAAGGACGTCCGGGACTTTTTCAGTCACCTATAGTTAAATTGTTCTGGGCTGTACTTCCATCACCCATGGCTCCAGAGGGTGACCGCATAGGGAGGGGACAAAGCCACGGTGAAATTTCTAGAAAGGAACATTATCACGTACCATAAATAAGAATTTTAGCATGTCACTTAAATACAGGCTTTTTAGCTTGTCTTCTCAAAAGACCTATCCAAAAGCGGTATATTCAGCAATGACACAAGCCCATTTTTCATTTCCACCAGCACAAAGAGAGCAAAAAAGTGCCTTTACTGACTCTCTGCTCATTATTATTTGAACAGCAGGCCAGGAGAGACATCCACTAAAGCACTTCTACCTCTTGATATGATGACTTATGCTATATTCCAGATAGCAGAAGGATCTTTCTGCAGTGGTCCAAGGAAAATTCATCATATTCCTATGACTCACTGCCTCTGCTCTCTAAGTCATGATTTTTTCCCTCTGGAGATGCTATCCACCTCATCTCACAAACACACTGATGCCAAATTCTCTGCTCAGCAGCTCCTGTGCCTCACCTTGGTGTCTGGTTTCCTTTTTGTGGAGTTTTCTGGCCACAGAGAATGACGGATTTTGGTTCTTACACCCCTACGCTACTGAAAGATGGGAACTGGGAAGACAGCTTGCTTAGGAAATTACAATTTAGCCCTAGAAGCCATTTGTTGAAGGGATTCCCTTCTGAATCGCTGCTAGCTGGTGTGCTGGTTCCATGTGAATCTGACCTCTGCTGAAACAGGGCTGGGGCTGGACCAGTGATGGAAAAAGCAAAAGAACTGGGAAGCTGCAGTGAACTCCTTCCCACACACTCCCCAGTGTCCAAGTGTTTTTTATAAATTCTATTCGCTACTTGCTGACTCTCCTCCTAGGATGCAAAGCGCAAGAAAAGCGACGCTGCGATATGGCAGTACTGCCACAAAGCCAGGAAATGGAGATTTCACAACCACTCCTGAAAGCGTCATGAGAACTTCACCGCTACCATCACATCACTGGTTTTCAGAAAAAAATCTCCTTTAGTCTCTCCGACACCAGAGCACGGAAATGCGAGGTTACAAAAGCACAGGTGAGCTTTTCCTACACATCTTGCCAGAGCGACTGAAGAGAATACCAGGAGGCCCTTTTGCAGCTAAGGCTTTGCAACACATCTGGAGGGGAAGACTTTTTCCTGGTCCTTCACTCCGCATGGTTTATCTGCCTTATTTTGCTTCTCTCAGTGTTCAGCAATTATTAGGGGGAAGCTGCACAGAGCCAGGCAGTGAGGTGACAATGACGTGAAGCCTTAACTCCAGAAGTAACATCTCCCGTCGCCCACATTCCATTTCACACCAAACAAGACACTGCATTTGCTCTCAATGGAGGACTCAGAGTAGTTAAAAGAAGAGAAAGCAGCAGCCAGTCATTGCAAGGTGAAATCTATTTCCCGTGTTTCAGCATTTCACAGCTGAATTTTTTTAAGTAGGGCCTTT